GATTAGTCGACTAATCGAATAAATAATAGGTGATTAATCGATTATTAAAATAATCGTTTGTGGCAGCCCTAGGGCAGAAAATTTGAATTTAGTCTCTTCCGGTGCTGCAAATATATCATTATATTATGTTTGGGTCATATTTTTTAACACTTTCAGTTTTCTCTGTTTATTTCCAAGTTTTTGGAAGAACTGCCAAAATAAGTTCTGAGCTCCCAACTAAAGTTTTGTCACCTTAATTCTCCTCTCGCTCTGTCAGACTGACTCAACATGTAAGGCTGAATGGACAAGTCTTCCGCTGATGACGTCTTTTAATTCATTTGAAAAGAAAACATTTCTGTGCCACAAGGTAGTGTAACCCTCTGGTCTGAAGTGAAAAAGGATTTAAAAGCTTGATATGCTCTTCAAAAAAAACTTGCTTGCTCGATGCTTTACATTAGTTAGACAACTTTAAAGCAAAGGAAAATAATCTTGATGGCAGAGCACATTAATTCGACCAAGAGCAACAGAAAGTCTGCTTTAATGGCCTTTTGTCTTTTTCCGAAACTGACATTACTGAGTTATTATGAGCTGATTTGATGCATTACCATAAAGTTTACTATTAGAAGGAATAAATGAAAAAGTTGTGGATAATTAACCAGAAAGAAACGTGTGCCGTTTTAGGTTTGATATTTGCACAAACTGCCTTCAGTTGTTTGTTTTCAGTAAGGCTCTGATTTGATTTATATTCAGCTCCTTCTGGTGCAGTATGGTCCTCAGTCCTGGTCCTCGAAGGTCACTATCCTGCATGTTTTACTAGTTTCTCTGCTCCAACACACACTCATTTTAATGGATGATTGACATGCTGCAGAACTTGAAGAAGTAATTCAGTCTCTAAATCAGGAGGGACACAGGTAAATCATGGATTGCAGTTTTCGAGGACTAGGATTGGAAACCCCTGTTAGAAAACTTTGTCTTTTCTTCAGGTTATTTATTTTTTTTGTTATAAGATTATTTGCACTCTTGGCAAACAATAGAGATGATACAGCTCCCAGACCGTCCGGTCCAGCATTTATAAACAGCATAAAAAACATGACTGAAGCCATTTATTAATATTTCTGTATACAATCTGTCAATAATAACAACTGTCATCACGTTTTGTTTTCAACTCACACGCTCAACGTGTGTTACAGTCCGTGTTTTTCTTCACTCTGCTGTGGCATCCGGTCTGACCAGGCCTGCATGTTTGTGCTTGTTGCTTCTTTGGCCTCCTGCCTGGAAGGACCAGGCAAACTTCCAAATTTGACTTATGAAGATTACCAACATGTGTGCTGAAAGGCCTAGCAGAACGTGAGGGATAACGCTTTGAGTCAACCCCGCTTTGTTTAAACCGACGAGCTGCTCGAATGGCTGCCAGGGACATTTAACTTCTGTTTGCTTTGGATTTTGTTGCTCAAGTGTGAAATTAAATGATTTTAATAAGGCGTATATATTGTAATCCTAATATAGCATGAATATAGGAAATGGTTTTATTTTTAAGTGAGGAAAAAAAACACATCCAGAACAGAGTTGACATTTGTATTTTCTCATAATTCTCGTAACCTAATACCAAGTTGACCAAGTTTTATTACAACCATGTTTTATAAATCAAAATAAAACATTTGAGAAGGAAGAAATTAAACCCACAAAATAAAAAAATTAAACATAATTTGTTACTCATTAGAAATTATAGCAATCCACCTTCTTAAGTGTATTTTAACACAGGCAGCTTAAATATAACCTTTGTTACTTCTGATTTAAAAACCTTTTTTTGTTGTTGTTGTATTTAAAAACACATTTTTCTACCAGTACACTTTAGTTTGAGTCCTCCTGTCATCTACCTGAAGAGAAAGTTGAACACAACAATTTAATGAGTTTTTAATGTTGTTTTTACAGTTTTATTGTTAGGTCTGTTCATGTGTTGTGTGGTTGTGTTTTGTTGCCAGCGTTGCTTTGTGCTTGTCACAAATAACCACAAAAATTATGAACATGCTTGTATGGATTCACATCCTGCCGGGACTTAAGATAAGATAAAATAAGACAGACCTTTATTGTCATTGTACAGAGCACAATGAAATTACAGTTCAGAACACCCATTCACATGAAGACAGAACATAACAAACATAGGAGAACATAGGAGAACATAGGAGACTTGCATAAAATGTCAAAAACCCATATTTGTTTTACAATAACATTTGATAAACGGTGATAGTTTTTGAAATCAAACCTTGGAAGAAGATAAAACTGTCTGTTTGTTCACATGCCTGATTGTACTGTAGTTCATGGCCAATTTAAATAATAATAATAATAATGGCTCTAGACAACCAGGAGGCAAAAGCAAAACAAGTACTCATTGTTAATTAACTCAAAGCAAAATAACTGTCCTTATTTACAGTTTGTCTGAATTTACACACTGTACAAGTACAGCTGATTTTTAATTTTAAATGTAGATAAAATAAGTACTTTAAAGTGACGTCGATATAAGAAAAAGAAGCTCTGTTTTTATCTTCAGAGCTGCTGATACTCGGATTAAAAAAACAAAACACACAATAAAATTCCAGGGGAAAATTACTGGATCTAAAGATTAAAAAAAAATGAAATGCAAGAAGTCATGAGTAACTTTTTAACTGAACAGTCCAAACTCTCCCAGGGCAGCTGAATCACAAAAAGAATTACAAAGTCAGACCCAGGCTCCAGGCTTCTTGTATCTTATGTCCTAAAGTCAGCGTTCTCGCTCAGTCACGTTTTGTGTGTTGTGGGTTTACGGTTTAGTCAGAAAAGAACTGGCTGTGGTTTTTTTCACTTGTGCGGCAGAGCCAGAATCAGGCAGGATGCAGGAAATAATTTGGTGAGGGCTGTAAACAAAACCTGCATGAGCTGCTGGTTTTAAAGGTGTACGGACAAAAACTCACAGCCTTAATGAAAAAAATAGGCTAAAGCTCACAATTTCTTTCAATTTTTAAGACACCAAAGGTATATTTGTGACTCCTCAGAGATACTCACACGTCTTATTTTGAGTTGTGTTTGTATGACAATGATACAAATCGAATGTGCTTTTTCTGTGATGCTATTGTCTCTTTTTCCATTAGGCTTTAGTGTTGTGAGCTTTTGTCAGGGACTGGTTTTTAACTTCAGCTTTTCTTCTCAGCCTGACAAGAGTGTGAATAAGGTTTGGAGTTAACCCTCAAATTTCCAATAAGGTCTGAGAAGTTTATTTTATGAAGGGACTCTTTAATTAAACAGGTCGGCTGTGATTTGAGACTGCAGCTCAGATGTAATTAAAATATTTACTTATTGCACTGCTAATTGTTTTTTGTCAGAAACGTTATAATGTTGACTGTGTTCTGAATGTTGAACCATCAGGCTAATTGAACTTATTCTGTAAGCAGATCAACATGGCAGTAGATGTCCCTGGGTTGGTGTCTGTCATAATTTTTTATGTCTGCATCCTGGCCATTGGAGTCTGGGGATCTTGGAAATCCAAGAAAGTGGAGAAGAAATGCATCGGCACCAAGAGCGAAATTTCCATCATTGGTGGTCGCAACATCAATGTCCTGGTTGGGATTTTCACCATGACAGGTAGAACTGTTCACTTTATGAGTTCACATTTAAAAGTTTTACCTATTATATTGTGACCAATGCTTAGTTTTTTTGTACTTTTGTTTTTTATTTATTTATTTATTTATGCTTTGCTTTTAGCGACGTGGGTTGGTGGAGGTTACATTATGGGGACCGCTGAGGCTGTTTATAATCCATCTCAAGGTCTCATCTGGGCTTTAGGGCTGCCTGCATATGCTATAAATTTCCTTCTGGGTAAGTAGACAAAACAAACCAAGCCTCTGTGCAATAACACACAGGTCAGATAATGTTCTTGAGACTGTTTATGTCACACTTTTTTTCTGAAATTTAGTTTTGCGAAGAAGACAACACAAATCATTCCTACATTTATATGTGATGTACTTTATTCCTTGCTAATAACCAAACCAAAGGCAAACCTGGGATCCTGTTGCTGTGAGCAGCTTCTCTGCCATGATGCAAAAAAAAGTAATGAATATTTTTTTACACTAAGCGTACTCTGTGTCCTGTTGTTTCTCATAGGTGGATTGTTTTTTGCAAAACCTATGAGGTCAAAGCGTTACGTGACCATGTTGGATCCATTTCAGAATCGCTATGGCAAAGCTTTCACTGCGTTACTCCTGCTTCCTGCTTTGGTCAGTGATATATTATGGGTTGCCTGCATCCTTGCCGCTCTGGGTAAATAAGTCTTTGTGTGTCCATCTTTATGCCTTCATTTGTAATTTAGAAATCAAATCATGATGCTTTCATTCTGCCATAATCTCACATGTCACAGTAATATAACCCACTCTTATTTTACAATGTCAATTATTATCAGATCCTATTTTTATTTATGCCTTTCTTAAATGCAACAGAAAATTATGAATGTCTGAAGTCTGGTATTTCTTACTTTTCAGCTGATTTGGCAAATTCTTGAACTCTGCCACGACTAAGAGAACTACACTGGAATGAAAGTACTGATCTGAACTGAGTTACAAATAATTCTTTAAGATCATTGCTGATATTTCCTCAGTGGCTTTGGTTTAAACCAGCAAAATGCTAAAACATCTGTTTTAATATGGAGGTTCTCACACTTTCAGATGATCAGTTAATCAAATTTATTTAATCAGTTGCATCTGAGAGCTACTTATCCTCGTCATTCATATAGAAGCAGTAATAAAGTACTTGTGTAAGTATTACTCATATGTTCATATTTTTAATTAGTTCTTGAGGGATCCCTGATTAGTTGTAACATTAGACTTTATTTGATAAACATTTATTTTAACTGTGAAATAAAGACTGTAAAAATACTGTAGGCTGTTTAGTTTTGTAAATTTTTAAAAATATATTTTAACAAGGATGGAACCATTTTATTTACAAGCAAAGCATTCTGGGTAAACGATGAGGTGGATAGGTTCTCAGTGTGAGCGAGCTATATCCACCCTGAAGGTTAATCTTGGACAATATCTGATGATYGACTCTTTTAAATGAAACCAGAGAGCGTTGACAGAGAGGAGAAGGTAGAAATGACTCAGTCTGTAACTGAAAATATAGATGGAGGACAACAGAGCTGCTCCATGGAAGAAGAACCTCAGCTTAGCCTGTTAGCCTTTGTGCTAGCTCTGATGCTATATTGCCTTATGTGTATTAGCTCAGCGCTAGCGCGACAAACAAGCTAAGCTGAGGTCCTCCATCCATATTTTCAGTTACAGGCTGAGTCATTTTTGTGTTCCCCTCTCTGTCATGTGGATGGAGGACCTCAGTGATGAGAGGAGAATGTGTAGCACTGAGCTAATACATATACAGTATATGGTGATAGCGTTGGGGCTAACGCTAAAGCTAACAGGCTAAGCTGAGGTTCTTCTTCCATGAAGCAGCTCTGTTGTCCTCCATCCATATTTTCAGTTACAGGCTGAGTCATTTCTACCTTCTCCTCTCTGTCAACGCTCTCTGGTTTCATTTAAAAGAGTCAATCGTCAGATATTGTCCAAGATTAACCTTCAGGGTGGATATAGCTCACTAGCAGCCTCGCACCAAGGACCTATCCATGTCATCAATTACCCAGAATGCTTTGTGTGTAAATAAAATGGCCCCGTCTTTGTAATATATTTTTTAACTTTTAGTTTAAAAATTATAAAAACTAAACAGCCTACAGTATTTTTACAGTCTTTATTTTACAGTTAAAATATATGTTTATTAAATAAAGTCTAATGTTACAACTAATCATGGATCCCTTTAAAGAAAAAGGCCAGGATTTGTGTCTTTAAGATGCATCTTCAGGTGGGTTTTCAATAACAAAGTGTGTTACCATGGTTGGAAACCTAACCTGCTCAAGGGTGGGTTGGGTTTCAAGATAAGTAATGAACACACGTAAAAGCTTCACATCCTGACTGTTTTTTTTAGTAATTATAAAAGAAATAGCATTTTATTATTTTTCATTTTAACAGTGAGAGTGTGTTTTTGCACTTTCTGTCTGAGTTAAATCATTCGGTTTGACTTGTACAAAACAAAAAGAAAACATTTTCAGGAATGACTGAGTGTTCTTTGCACACAGTGTTTCTGGATTAATAAAATGAAACATGATTTTCAGGTGGAACAATGAGCATCATCCTCGGGCTGTCGTCCACCATCTCCATCATCATCTCAGCAGCCGTCTCCATCGTCTACACATTTCTAGGTGGCCTTTATTCAGTGGCATATACGGATATTATCCAGCTTTGTTTTATTTTTGTCAGTTTGGTAAGAATAAAAAAGTGTATGATAATCAAAAACTACACATTGCTTTCAGAAACAGTTTAATATAGAGAAGGAGGATTTGAGAGTAGGCATAGGAAATGAAAACAGGTCAATTACGTTTTTTTGTTTCCAAGCAGATGTTTTATTTCTATTTAACAGTGCAGTGTTATTGTAAAAGCTGGTTTATACTTCAAGTCGCACGTCTTGCGCCCCCTGCTGAGTGATCAAAAAACTGTGTAACTTTTTGTTTGTTGTCCTGCAGTGACAGCCTTCGTGTGCATTGGCTCCAGTCAGAACTCTGTCCTGCAGATCTTGCGGCTGATTGGTCAGAACTTCTTGTGTTCGGCGTGTTTGTTTACGTGGAGCGGCGCTCCGAGCAGCACATCTTTCCTGTTCAACACGAGAACATGCAACTGACATACATATCTTTCCAGCTTGTCTGACTCCTCACCCAACACACCTATCCTGCTATCACTATTGTTATTTATGTTTAGCTTTGAGCTCTGCTACATTAGGGGTGCTGTGGGTGAAATTAGGATAATTTATCCCTCTTCAGAACACCTATTTATGCTTGGGTCAAAAAATGTCTGAAATGATGTAATCACTGATCCACTGTCTCACGCCGCATTGAAGTATAAACCAAGCTTAAGAGTTTAACAGAACAATGCAACTGAACTCCTGCTCTGTAGAAGAAGGTTTGATTTCTATCTGGGGAGCTTTTTCAGTTTAAAACTGGAGTTTACGTCAAGCGAGAAAGCCCAGCTTTATGCAGAGGAGGGGGTCATTACAATATTTATTTATGTGACCAAAACATCTCTCTCGTAATGTGAACCATGCAAACAAAAGACCCTAACAGCCCTCAGGTGGGAGGGGAGTGAGACTAATCTGCATGTGAATTCAGCTCACATACTGTAAACAAAGTATTTCACGCAAGTTTGGAAATCCCCATTTTTCAGTTCTGAACTGAAAAAGCTCTCCAAATGGGAAGTGTGGATAGAAGTCCAGTTGCTTTTGTTTTAAAACTTAGGATTCACCACATCATGCATGACTACCAAGCATAGAATATTATCATATAATGTTCATAGGAACTGGTTAATTCACATTAGGATTAGAGGTGTAATTTATGCCTATATAGATGCTTATATATCTGTATAAACCTGTTTCACTACAGTGTAAACAGTGTTGAGTCATCATCATATACTAGATGTAATAATGCAGGGACTCAAGACTGACATTAATTTGGAAATGTTTTTATTTTTCTTCAGTGGCTCTGTGTTCCCTTTCTGGTGCTAAGTCCTGCAGTAACTCTGATCTCACAAACACCCGGCCTCAACCAGACTCATGGAAACTCCTGGGTGGGTCACTTGGAGCTGATGGATGCAGGGAAATGGGTCGATGAGCTTCTGCTCCTGGTAATGCAATGATTTGCAAACCACAGATTAACACAGTTAAAATGGAAGGAGATGTTTTATGAAAAAAGTTTTATTGTGCTGTTACAGATGTAAAAGTTTTTTATGCTTGCGCAAATGAATGATGATTTATAGTTCATCTAACAGTCATGTACAGGATTTTAATTTAAAAACCCATTTTGCGACTTCTCAACAAAACCAAACTTATTTTTTTGTCTTCTTTAGATCTGCCTATTGCTTTGTTTTACTTTTTATTACATTTGGACAAAAAGCAGAGAAATTTGTCCACAAGTGCTTCAATAAGGACATTTTTAAACTTGAAAAGGTCAGCCTTATCTTACAGCTTCTACATGCTGTAACCCCTCAAGTAGCTGTACCTGCTTTGTCCTTTTTTCAGATGGAGAACTTTCTAGTTTACCCAAAAGTCTTATTAAATAAAGACACCACCAACTGAAGAAGGTTAAAAGGTTTATCTCAAAACAGGCAAATAAAAAGTCCAAGTTCAGCGCTGGGCCTTCCAACGATCCAACTCAGTGATGATGGTGAGGGAAGGCCCAGAAAAAAGGAAGTGCATTTGCTTAAAAAGCCTTGACTCCAACTGTTACAAATGACGGAGCACTGCCTCACTTGTGTCAGTGTTTTTTTACAATCTGTCACCACAGTGGTTTTACCTGACATCTCAATATTACGGTGTGGGGTTTTATATCTGATGCGTGCAGACTAAGAAAAACAAAGATAAGCTGTTCATAACTCAGTTGCTTTTCAGTACATGTAGTCCTTTTTTTTTACCACAAAGTATCCAGTTAGGAAAAACAAAGTATTACAAAGTAACTGATTTTCCAGGTCTGTTTTGTTGCAGGCTTTAGGTGGATTGTCATATCAAGCTCTGTACCAACGGGTTCTCTCAGCAGCATCATCGACTCAGGCTCAGATCACCTGTTACGCTGCTGCTGGCACCACTTTTATCATGGGGATCCCCTCAGTTGTCATTGGAGTCATGGCTGCCTCTGCAGGTATGCTACCATACACGTGCTGATGAGTTAAACGGAAATATGTTTGTGTTACATAACAAATATTGAGCTGTGTATGTATAAAAGAAAAGAGAGACTTCCATCCATCCATTCATTTTTCTTTGCTTACTTTTGTCCTTTCCGGGTCGCAGGGAGCTGGTGCCTGTGTCCAGTCACAGTGCGAGAGACGGGGTTCACCCTGGACAGGTTGCAAGTCCATCACATGGACACATACAGACAACCAGTTCCACTCTCACTCACACTTAGAGACAGTTTAGAGTTAACCTGATATGCATGATTTGGTCTGTGGGATGAAACCAGACTAGAGAAAACCCACTTGTGCATTAGGAGAACATGCAAACTCCACCCAGAAAGGCCCCAGGTTTGGGGGGCGATCCTGCGACCTTCTTGCTGTGAAGCGATTTCTCTAACCTCTGCTCCTCCGTGCTCCCTTAAATATTGACTCGTTGAATGAAAATAAATAGTACAAACCATTTTTCACACAATTATGAGCATACATAAAGTAACATGAGTCAGGTGGAAATCTTTTGTATAAAATAACCAATGTGTATTTTTTGTTAGGTTTAGTAAAATAAGATTTTATTGACTCAGATTGATTTGTTTTCATTTATTTAACAAGAGCAACAGAAGTGACACAAAGAACCGATTCAACAAGATTTATTTTTGATTCTATTAAAGGATGTAAAAAACCAGATTAAATTAATTAATAAAGCTTGAAACGACTGCTGATCAAGCCCAAATATAAGATTATAAATAACAGATTTTAAAAACTTGACAGAGTTATAATACTGTGTTTCTCATTTTTTTATGTTAATTCAAAATGTTGATTTACTGTTTAAGTTCCTGTTAGATAAGATATATAAATGTTTTCAGATTTTGGAAAACGATGTTCCGTGTCATTTCCAGATCTCTTCTTTTTTCTATTTCATGTCAAAATTTTGACAATCTTTCTGATAAATTGTATTTAGTTTTCTACCCCGGAATCATCTCCCGTCTCTACTTTCCTCTAAGACTGGAACCAGACCGACTACGGCTTCCCCCCTCCTTTTGAGCGTGGAGATGCAGGGAAGATCCTGCCCCTGGCCCTGCAGCACCTCACACCCACCTGGGTCGGCGTGTTGGGGATCGGCTCGGTGGCTGCAGCCGTCATGTCCTCGATGGACTCGGCGCTGCTGTCGTCAGCCTCCATGTTCACACAAAACATATACAAGACCATATTCAGGAAGCAGGTGAGCGTGTTTTGGTTCTTTGACACATAAAGCAGCTTAGTGTTTCTCATCACTGTATCCCCCCACCCTCCCTCTGCAGGCTTCGGACAGGGAGCTCATGTGGGTGATCCGTGTCAGCGTGCTGCTCGTGGGCCTGGCAGGGACCGGTTTGGCGTTTGGGGATGACAGCGTGTTAGCTTTCTGGATCTTAAGCGGAGACCTGATCTATGTTGTGATTTTCCCACAGCTGGTCTGTGTGCTGCATTTCAAGTGTGTGAATTGTTACGGTGCCATTAGTGGCTTTGTGGTGGGTTTGCTGCTGCGAGGGCTGAGCGGGGAGCCTGTGCTCGGGATCCCCACTTTGCTCCGATACCCTGGTTGGAGGGAGGAGAATGATGTGATCGTACAATACTTTCCTTACAGGACCGTAGCCATGCTCTCTTCTTTAATATGCATCATGACCGTCTCCTGGCTGCTGGACCTGACCTTTCGTCGACAGCTGATTCCTCAGTCCTGGGATCTACTGAAGGTGTTTAAAGAGAAAAATGAAACAGAGGCAGAGGAAATACATGGCACAAGGGAGGAAGTCAAATATGCTCTTACTACAAAATTCTAAGCAAACATTGGACCCAAACACGCGGCCCATTACTGCATTTCGATGGGATCTGTTTTTTCTAAACAGAATTATGGTCACAAAAACTTGATTAGTCTAGTTCTCTGTTTGTTTGTTTTTTTATTTCTTACTGGATTCAGGTGCTTCTAATAACACTTTGTTTTTTTTCTCTAATTTATTTTCAAACAAATTTTTAATGTCGATACATCAAGGTCAAAAGTGATGAAGCAAGTTTGCTTCTTTGCACACAGAAACAAAGCTTTAATGCTGGAGGAGAAAATAACTAAAGTCACAAGTCGTGGTAGATGTGTTTTTTTTTCTGAAACAGTTTCCATGTTTTAAAAAAATAACCTAAAGCTGTGTTTAAATAAGCTCCATGTTTTTATTAAATTGCTCCTCAGTGACTGTCAGTTTTGTTAAATGTTTCATTTTCCAAAATGTTTTGTTTTTGATATAACTTTGATTAAAGCAAAGTTTGGAGTGCAACAAAAATAATACGTTTCTAAAAGAATAACGGCAAAAAGAAGTGCAAAAAATAAACTAGATGTTCAATTTTGTTTACATTTTTAATATTTATGTAAAAGTTTGTTTATATATATTTACTTGCAAATTGTGTTAAAGTTTTTTTTTGTTTAAACTGCACATTTGTTACTATATATAGACTTTCTTAAAATTAATAGGTTTCAAAAATGTTCAAGTGGGGTTCTGTGGAGTTATAATGAACAATTAATGTCTTACATGTTGCAGATAGCTTTTAAAACGACCTCAGTATAAGAGGGTAATGCAAAAATAAAAAGTAGTGTAAAGGTTTCTAAAATAGTGTTCACATGAACCTGAATGAAATATTTAAATTAGGTTCCATTTTAAACTGTAATGTGTCCGTTTGACCAGCAGGAAGCAGCACTTTAACACTTTACAGACAGTTGACCTTGATTCAACGAAACTCCACAAGTTTGTAAACAAACCTTTAAAACCAGCAGCACAGAAATGAAGACATTTTTAAGCCTGTCGTAATCAAAGCTTTAAAATGGGATATTTCAGTAGGAGATCATTTCACAAAACAACAGCAGAGTTTAGAAATTTATTGGCTCTGCCATAAAAAAAAAAAACACGTTTTTTGTCTGTATTTTCTGGCAATGTTTAAAAATGAAAATTAATGAGAAGCAAACTTCAGAATATACTATTAAATTGTCCACAAATTGTTAAAAATGTAACAATATTTCAC